ATTTTTAATTTAATTATTAAAATATAATATAGATATAATTAATTTAATTAATTCATACATATTATACATATAATTGTATATTTAAATTTATTTACTTTTAATTTTTAATCAAAACATAATAAATAAATCAGATTTTCGGATCCAAGTGTTTGCCCTCAAATCTTAAAACGTTTGAGTTAGTCGATTGGGGTTTCGAGCCCCACCAAAGGTATCAAATCAAATAACGTAACATGAACTAGGTCTTTGGGTTTGATAATTCATTTTCAAACCTTTAAATGCTCAAGTTTAGTAGGTTAAAATTTTGACTCACACCAATAACTTAAAAAAATTTCTCACATCCCTCAAATTCTCCCTATGTTAAAAATAAATAAATAAATAACATAACATAACATGACAAATATACACTTCATTGCACATCCAACCACCGCAAATTATCAATTGTATAAGGTTAAAATTTTATTTTGGTCCTCTACATAACTAAAAGTTTTCTTTTAGTTTTTCTACTTTAAAAAAGTTTTCTTTTAGTTCCTAAAGTTTATTATCTGATTTTTTTTAGTTCTTCCATAATTTTTTGCATATGTGACATATTATATGATGGAAGTTTAAAGTAAAGGGACTGAAAATGAACTAAAATACTACTGAAAAATAGAGTATATTCGACATAATTTTCTGTCAAATATAGTTATGTTTAATAATCAACAGACATAATTGACAACCATATCTATTGTATAAAAGTGAGTCGAAAATGAATATAATCGACAGAAAATTTTTCTGTCGAATATAATAATATAATCGATAGCCAATATCTATCGAATATCATATAATCGACAAAAATTGGCTGACGTGAATGGTTTTTGAATTTTTTGAAGGTATATTCGACAGCCAAATGCTATCAATTAAAGTGGTATAATCGACAGCATTTGGTGTCGAACATTTTTTTTTAGATAATTATATTTGACAACCTATTGCTGTGGATTATACCACTTTAATCAACAGCATTTCGCTGTCGAATATGTTTTTTTTTTTTGGGTAATTATATTTGACAACCATT